AACCGACCGTCCGCCTGCCTGCTCGCTGATGGACCCCCCCCTCTCTCTCTCTCTTTCTCTCGCTCGTTCGCCTATTTGCTGGCTCTCGCTTGCTTTCTCCTCGTCGCAGGAGCTCGGGCTGTGGAAACCGCCGCTCACGCGCCGCGAAGGGCTGAGAGAGAGTTGATTAATCTCTACAATATTTAAGAAGCGCGCACCGAGGTCGAGCAAAAAGCCTTCCGCCCGTGCTTTACGAGGATAGCTTCGCCCGTGCAAATCCCCTCGACTAATCCGCTGTTTGCATCGATGTACCGCCCGCGCGAATCTCTCCCTCCGTCTCACTCACGTTTTCTCCCTCCCTTCCTCCTTCCCCCCCCTCTCTCTCTCTCTCTCTCTCTCTCTGTCTTTATCGACGCAATCTTTCGTCGCCCTTCTCGCACCCACCGTGTGGCGACGGGTCGCGACCACGAAAGGCGCTCGCGATAGGCTTTTAATAGGCGAGATCTAAGGGGTGCAGCATGCCGTTTGGGTTCGGGAATTCGATTTCTGCGAGAAAGCGGAAGAGGGGTAGAAAGAGGAAATGTTCAAGCGGGAAAATGTATACGGCGTTCTGGGCGGCGTACGGTGTGGTCGCAGGGAACACGTGGAACGCGCTCCATCGGAGTTATACCGCACGCATCGATGGTCGATACAAATGAAGTTTGCATTAATCATGAAGAATGCACAGACGGAACAAAAAAGATTAGCGCTCGCGTTTAAAACCCGGTCAGCGATAACCGCGAGCGCACCGGGATTATGTTCAAATGAAACGCGGACCCGGCGGGGAAGGAAAGGGATGGGGGTGGCTCCTCGTCGGAGAATACGCGAGGTCGCGGAATTGCACATCGCAGAACGTCGCTGCGAATGTGCGCGCGGCGGATCGATCTATTTTCGCCGCGTCACTCGCGGCGCGTGTCAGATTTCAATGTCCCGCAGCCCTTAAGCCAATCAGGCAAATCCGCCGTGTATAAACTGGCGAGCGCGAGCGGGGGCCCGCGCGGCGGCTTTCAATAAGTGTTCGCAGCGACTTTTGGCTCGTGTTTGCGCGCGGTCGTGGCGCAGATTGCTAAATAGAATTGCGCGGGAGCGACGATTGCGTTACGCAGTTTATCGCACCTCGCGGCGCGCTAACTCGCGACCTGCCACGCGGCCGCCGCGCGGGGATTTCAGCGGCGTGGCGCTCTCGCGCGTTTTAACAATTACCGGACGTGCGAATTCGGTGGACGCCTGGCGAGAGGGGATACTTGATTACGGATGCGGCGCCGTCCCGATGCGTTTCTACCGCCCGGTCAGCCCGACGACTCGGCGGCCCGGGAGGAATCGCGAAAACGGATAATTGTGCTCGCACTAATCACGCCGCCGGCGAATCCGAGCGGATCCGCGGACTGTATCGCGCTCGCCGTATAAACGAAGATTTCCCGCCGGCGGCTCTTGCCACGCAGCTGGGCTGCGTGTTCCCCGCGACCCGTGTTCGTCGGTGAGCCCATGTCTCGCCAAGCACGAAATCATCTCAGTCCTAATGATCTTTTAGTAATTAAGGGAGAGATCATTTTGTTGTGTACGAGGAAAAAGCGCCAGCGTATTTCTCTCTGGAGAAACGTTCTTATTGCTCTATCTTGAACTTTATGAATATTCAAACTTTCTGCATAGAATATGTTGATATAGAACTTTGAACCCTGAATCCGTCGCTAGGCACATGTATTTTTTAAGCATTAATAATTTAATAACTATTGCGATCTTTGCAAAATGGTACTTGACTTCTTTTCTCAGCCTGACCTGATTAATCTTTACAATTTTTCATTTCCGAAAGATCGGTGTCTTTCTAGAAAATTTAAATATTCAAAATTAAAGGCCAAAGTGCAAGAAGAGCACACAAAGTAGACGGCATCGGTACTTTCGCCCGAAGACACACACTTGATTCCGCCCGTCGAAAGACACGCCGCCGGATACGATTCGATTGACGCGGCCATGTCCGGAACACGCAAGACGTGGAGGAACGCGATGGACAAGACGTGGTATGTGCGCGCAATTCTTCGCTCGGTCCGGAATTACACGCAAAAGCATTGCGCACCGGGGGAGCGCGCGCCAAAGGATTCCCGGATGTGCGGCTGTTGACTGCCGGAGAGCGGGCGACAATTGCATCGCTAATAGCCGTCGCCGCGACGGCGGCGGCTGAGAACTTACGCACTTTATCGACTCACCCTGAGCAACGTCGCGCAACCTCCGGGCACCCTTCGCTGGAGAGTGTACGGTTTGCGGTCGGTCCTGGAGCGCTTAACGCGCTCTACGTGCGAGGACGATAACGACGTAACACGCGCCGCGACGTATCACGCAGATAAGCGTGGCCGTTGCGTGCGAACGCGCAACTCCACGGGCCGTCGCGTCACACTGTCCGCGTGAGATTTCTTCTTCTCCCTCTTCCCCCCTCTTCACAGCCACCTCCTCAAGCGAGCCGGCTCGTTGAATCGTCGCGCGTTTTTGCCCCCTGCGAGGGCACTTGAACTCCCCTGACCTTGTTCGTGAACGTGACGTTTGTTAACTCTCCTCGCACTTGGAGCGTCCACGCGGTCGCGGGGTTCTTTCGTACCGAACGTTCCTTTTCTTCCCCCCCCCCTTCTCTCTTCCCATCCTTCGGCCACCCGCCGTGTGGTCGAGTATGGTGGACGCATAATAATATGCGGGGTTCTTTGAGCGCGGTAATTAATTACGCGTCGTCCGTGTACGACGGACGATGGTGATTGAAAAATTACGTATGTTAAAGAGATTCGCGCCGTGCCGAGCGACTTTCATTATTTCATTGTACTGCGCGGCGAGGTACGCTGCGTTTACGCGCGTGCGTGCGATATTAATTACTAATATGCACTTTAATTAGCGCACAATTTACATTACACAACAGCCAAGTTTCGTCTCTTTCTCTTGTGTTTTCTTTTTCTTTTCTTCATTCTTTTTCCCTTTGCTTTTAATCTCTCTCGTTGATCACGAGCGGAATGTATCCGCGAGCTTCGCCACCGGTTAAATAATACATAATTATAAATGAAGGCTGCAAACTCGAATCCGGGGTCAGGATTAACGTAAAGCCCGGAATACCGTTGCGACCTAGATGACAGCGTAATCCAATAGCAACTCTAGCGGAGGTACGAAACGGAGAACATATTCGCGGTGAAAACAAGTTTTGCGACAGAAAGAGCCCACAGATCAGCCTGATGGAATTGACGGGACTGATAAGAACTTTTTGCCTATAAGCTCTCTATAAAGATCTTGCAATCGCGACATTAATCGGGCAGGAGAACGGCGTAGGAAAATGACGATTCCCGGTAGGAAAGAGAGAGAGAGAGGGAGGGAGGGAGGGAGGGAGAGAGAAACAGGGCGGACACGCGAGCCGGCAATTGCCGAATCCTCAGCACAAAACAGCGCTGTCGCTATATTTGCATACGCGACTTTATCGCACGCCCGGGAGGAAGTATCGGTGTACGGGTGACAGATGTAAGCTTTGTAATTCGAGACTCCATTTATCCATGGAACAGAGGACGGAAACATGGCGCCGCGAAGGGCGGCACGAAGAGAAGCATCGCCGCGACACGGCGTAATCACTTTACGATTATCCCCGTTAAATATTTATTTTCGCCGCGTATTTATTTATTTATTTATTCAGAACGTATCTCGGGGTTGGAAGCGTTTGAATGTTGCATAATGCGGCGCCGCCGCCGCCGCCGCCGCCGCCGCCGCCGCCGCTGCGTTCCCGTTCGCGAGGAGATTTATAAACTCACGCAGCTACGCGCGCGGCTAAATAATGCAGCCGCTTTTGTCGAACAACTAAATATTCGCCGGGATGTTTCGCCTCGGCGGATTCGCGTTTGCGTCTGTATCGCACTCGCGCGCGATTTCCGCGCGGATCCGATCGGACCGGCGAACTTTTCGTAAACCGGATTATCGGAGATACGCGTGAAATTGTGTTAAATCGATAAGATGTTTACGAGAGCGGGCTTTTGCCAGTTTATTCCGCGTGTTTCCCGGCGCTCTCTCTCTCTCTCTCTCTCTCTCTCTCTCTTGCGCGCACGGTTCGTATAATTGATATACTCCGAATCTTCTCAGATTCGGCAAACGTCCGTCGATACGTTAACGTGAACGTGAGACGTCGCCGATGCGAGGGACTCGTGGGACTCGGCAGACGCCAGACACGAGCGGGAAGAAGAGAGAAGACGTGTGAGAGGGGGGTGGGGGAGGGGGGGAGGGAAGAGGGAGAAAGAGAAAAACGTACAGCGAGGGAAGAGAACATCGTCGTGCCAAAAATTACTTTCCGTTCTGAACTTCAGCTGCATTACAAATACGGCCGTTTCCCCTTGTGAAAGTACTTGAAAGTTCCGGCCAGCGTGAGATAAGGGATCTCGGGACATCGTAAGGGAAAACTCGCGGAATCGTTTCCTAAGTTCTCTCACACGGGCGAACGAGGCGAATTCTCCGGACGCGGCGGCGTACGAAACAAATGTGTAATTCGATGCAGGGTGTTATACGGCGTTACGAAGTTCGACGAGCGTTAAGTGCGGATCTCCGTCGAACAAGCGCGGCGGCGGCGGCGGCGAGAGCTTCGTGCGTGAACGCGAGGAGTGGCGGCTACAGCTTCGGGAGGAACGAGTACTTCGGGCACGCGCTTCGTCCGAGATTCTTTCTCGCGGACGTCGATGGCCAGTTTGACGCGATCACCGGGGATGGGGGATGGCTTGACTTATTCCGGGGCGAGATAGCAGCGGGCTGTTAAAAAAAAAAAAGAAAGAAAAGAAAAGGAACAGGGAACTTCAGTGTTGAAAAATAGGTTAACGGGGTTCACACACGAGACCGTCCGCGGGAGCTAGAAATTCCTCACGGTCGGGACGACCGAAATAGGGGCGGAAGAGTCAAAAGAGCCCTGCGAGATGAAACGGATATTCGCGTTGCGATAAGCCGCGGCTAAAATTGGAAGAAGCGAGGAACCGCCGCGAACGCACCTTTGTGGTGTCTGTTGATGTTTATCCCTTGGCCGTCCTCGCGTTTCCACATGAGTTTCGGGGGCGGATATCCGTCGGCTTTGCATGTGAGAGTGATGTTCTGGTGCTCCCGCACCGCCACGGTGCTCTCAGTGGAGAGAGAGTCTAATATGTTGGGTGGCACTGCAACACACGAATGACGCGCGGGTTCTTCCTCATCGAGCATCCAGCGCGACGCGTCGCCGCGACGGTCGGCGTGTGCGCGCGTCCGTGCGAAGCGACGCGCGAATTTATCCGCCGTCCCCCCCCCCCCTCCCCGTGAGTATTCCAGCCGCGGGGACTTTGGTCGCAATTGCCGGTGACGGTGAGACGGCTTACTTACCAACGACTTGAAGAAAGCCCACTTGGCTTATCATGGGGTTGGTGTTTACTTGGCACATATAGTAACCCCGGTCGTCCTGTTGCACGCTACTGATGTGAAGCAGCCAGGTCTTCTGATTGTCATGCGACACGGAAAACCTGGGTATTTTCACGACTACGTGTTTGTGAACGGTGAGCAGCATTTGGCGACCGACGTGGATCCACGCCACCTGAAAACAGAAGCAATAGGCGATACTTGAGCGCGGCTGAATTGTCGAGCGAGTTTTGCGCGCTCACGCGCGGACGCGGATCTGCGTATCGCGACGAGTAAGACGTCGTGCGTTTTCCCTTTCGCTCCGACGCACGCTCAAATTCGGGCATGAAATATTCTCAAGCTTGCTTAATGCGTTGCGATAGAGACCGCTTCTGGTATTAGAGAGAAAGAGAAAGAGAGAGGGGGAGGAGGAGACGCTCAAACGATCTGAAACGTTATAAAACATCCGCTAGTTAAATTTGCAAATTCACGTTTAATCTCTCGAAATTCAAGACGCGACGCCGCTGACGGCGACACGAAGTTGAAAAAGCGAGAGCTCGCGTTGAAAATTTCAACGTCTGCGCTTAAAATACACCTCGAGCGGGCGGCGCACGAGCGACTTCATAAAGCCTGGAAGCAGCCAGCCGTTTATCGCGCCGTGTTTCTGCATTGAAAATTTCCACATTAGCACATCGCAGAGTCACGGAGTCGCCGTCTGCGAAACTCGCGGCCGGCGTAAAACCCGTGCCGTCTCGACCTCCCTCCCCCCCCTCTCTCTCTCTCTCTCTCTCTCTCTCTCTCTCTCACACATCCTCGTGCCATCCCGTCAGCGAAAAATCTCATCTCGAATCCACGGGGCGAGCTCGTCGAATTCGACGCGGGCGCGAGTTTTACGATCGACGGGGAACGGGTTTCGTTCGCGATTTCCGACAACGACGGCGACGACTACGGCGAGGATATCGTCGTCGTCATCATCGTCGGTAAGGATACTCCACAAGTGGCAAAAGCAGCGACTGACGAAAGCGGGGCACGAGAGAAAAGATCGCGACGGCGCGGGCGACGCGCCACTGCGCGACCGCCACCACGAGCGAACATTATTACGCCCGGTATTTTACGCTCCGCCGGGGTAACTCGCCCCTAACTAAGCTCATTCTGCGACAAAGCTTATGCACTTTCAAGGATTTCTGGGTTACCCCGCTTCGCCCCAGACCTTCCCTCCTCGCCTTTCCTCGGCTCTTGCCGGGGCCTCGGCCGGTTGCAGCGCGGCGGCGGCGCCCGTTCTTTCTTACTTTTTTCCGCTCTTGGCTATTTTCCCCCTTTTCCTTTTTGAGTACACTTCCAGGGAAGTAAGACAGCGACGAGTCTCATCCGACTCGGGTTGCTTTTATCCCGGTCGTCTTACCGTTTCCCGTCCAGCCGCGAGAGACGCCGTTAGGCACGCAATTTCGTTCGCGAAGGAAGACGCGAAAGGCGCGGATGATACGCGCGAATTCCGATTGCGCGTATCATCCGCGTGTCCTTGCAGAGGACCTCGTCTTCATCGTGGCTTGACGATTTGAACGACCACTCAGTCAGTATTTTTTTTTTTTTTATTCATCTTTGCAGTATTTGTTGACCGTGTGTGCGTGTGCTAGTAAGAAGTTTAGCTATGAATTAACATTGCAATATTATCCAAATGAATATGCGTTAGAGACAAGCAAAAGAGCTAATGCTGTTGTTAGGGTGAAGCGATAACGAAGAAAAGTGTCGATATTTTGCAATTAATTAGTGTTTTACAGTCTCCAAAAAATATGGACACCTCGGTGCCAAATGATTGGTGCCCCTTCGGCAATAAATAACAAATTTACACGTAAAATAGTATACTGTGTTGTAAATGCACACGATATTAGTACTTCATATATATATATATAAAATTATATAATATTATATAAAATATATATATATATTATATAAAATATATATATATATATCGTTTATGTTAAATTAATATCCGCGTGTTAAACATTAATAAAACGCCCATGGCCGCCGGCCTTGTTGACTGTTCGCGACAAGGTCGATAAATTAATTTTCTTGCAATTAATTTTCAGCGCGCGCGCGCGCGCGACGATTTTTTTCTACCTTTTTAATCGCGGGATTGATATAAATTAAATAATTAAAGGAGAGAAAACGCTCGCACACGCGGACGTTGGCGTTGTAACGTTCACGATCTGGCACAATGATTCATTCGCCGAGTCTCGCTTTTACTGTTTCCTTTTAGATTCGTTACTGCCGCTTGGCAACATCTGGATCCGCGGAAATGGCGCCTCTTCCGCTTTTTTACTCGCTTCTTTCCCTCCCGACGTATATACTTCCTCAAATTAAGCCAGAAACAGCCCGTTCGGACAGGGTAAATTGTATCATTTCTACCTTCTCTTCTCTCTCTTCTTCAAATCGTGCAAAAAAATCCGGCTTTTATCCGAAGCGTTATTCCGCACGCGCCATTCCATCGCAACGTGGAAAACAAAATAATGTCGATAATAAAAGTTCAAAGCACATATCGTTCCTAACGTTCGGATAATATTATACACTCTGTATTTTTTAAAAAGTATTCTCTCTCTCTCTCTCTCTCTCTCTCTCTCTCTCTCTCGATATACACGTTTTATCGTTTATGCTTTGGCGCGAGGATTTACTTCGGCATCCGAGAGCCGCGGTCCGCGCGAAGAAACATAATAAATCCGAGCGCGATATCCGATGGAGAACGTAATCAACTAATTGCGACAGAGGTCAGTCCCGTGGTAGTTATTTACAGTGAAGAAACTTCATCACATGGTGGCACAAATAGCGAGTTATTACATTTAGCGAGCGCGCGCGCGCTGTAGCTCGTGCGGCCGCGGCCGCATCGATCTGCCGAAAATTTAATTCGACGCCGTTCAACGGACGAATTACGTTTAATCGAACCTATCCCAGCGCAGATCCCAAATGCAACGAGACATTTATATTTGGGAGTTAGCGTTCCCCTCCGCCTTCCTCCCTTTCTTCTCCTCCTCGTCCTCTCCCTCCCCCAAAGTCCTCCCGACCGTCAGCTCGCCCGGCTTTTACTCTCCAACCCTGAATTCTTTCCCCCTCAGGTATTTCACCTAAGAACTCGGCGAACAACTCCTTCCAGAATTGTTCGTCTATGTACCGCTTCTCCTTTTCGTCGGCGCTCGTCGGGTAAGCAAAAGTTTCAGGTACGGAAATCACAGTACATCCTGGGAAAGTTCTTTAAACAGTCAGACGCCACTGACGGCTCTCCTAACGAAGAGCCGAGAAGATGGATGGTGGCGGATCTGAAGCTCTTGTCTGCCAACAGGATTTGCCGCCGGTTACCGAGGATCTCTGAACTCGTCAGATTTCGCTCGTATAATTCCGCGATCCGCCGTGCGCGCACGCGCGCGTCCGAGGATGCGGTGTCGCTTCGAGTTTTCGGTAGATTTTCCCGGAGGAGGGAAAAGCGCGACGGGGAAGCCGCCGGGGGAGTTCACGACGGGACGGCGTGACGGGACAACAGCCGGGATGACCGTCCCCCGAGGACGATCCTCCAGCCTTCGATCGTTCTTCGTCGCGTTAGCGTCGTCCGTTCGTTTACAAATCGAGCCTCCATCTCCCCGTCCCTCTCTTTTCCTCCTCCTCTCTTTCTCTTGTGTCCCTTTGCCATGAAACGTCGAGATTAACTTGACCATCGTATAAGACCGCGCGCGCGCGGTAACTTGCGAGATTAATAAGTTTCATATTACGTACATCTCTCGGGGCAATTTTCGCGACGGTTTATAAGCGAGCCCGTCGCCGAGACGGAGAGCAGCGCGCTGTTCGCGCTGCGAAAGTTGCCTCCGTCGGCGACGAGGATCTTCCCCCCGGAAAAGTCACCGCGATACGAGAAACTTTCGTAGTCACGCACCGCGGATGGCTCCTAAGTTCTAACGAAGAGGAAAGAAGTCGCGCACGTGCGCGAAGATGAGTGCTCTTCTTCTTATATAAACGCGTTCGCTGGAATCTTGAAAATTAAATAGGCGACGCGGTAAAAGCGACGAGAGACGGCGATGGCGGGCTGCGCGATAATACGATCTAGCCGTGTAAGTCGACTAAGTTAATGTCCACGCTTGGCGCACGACTTCGAGTAACGTCGATCAGATTTGCCTGCGCGAAACAGCACGCTCGACGATTGACCGAAGTAAGACGCGACATTTACGGGCGACGCTTTTATCGCCTCGCCTCGGGCAATATCCCGGTAGTGCGTGTCGAACATTTCGCCGGGTGATTAATGAATTCCTTGAGCGACGAAATGCAATGGGCGCTCGCGCGGAAAATGACGACTGTATCCTCGAAGTCGAAGTTATCCTCGAAGAGGATAAAAGGAGCAAGGGAAAAAGGCGGACAAATGCGCAAGCCTCGAGGCTGCGTCCAAGCGTCGCGTGTATGCCGCGTAACGATCGCAATTAATAACAATAATTCCGGCAAATGTTACCTTCGGCGTTAAAAGTAGGGGAAAATGTAGCTCTCACACGCGCCAATTACCGCGCTTCCATTCGCACCGGCAAACACAACGATCAATCTAGCGTGCCGATAAAATCAGAACTTATCGAAATCATACCGGTCCCCCTCTCCCTCCCTCCTTCTCTCTCTCTCTCTCTCTCTCTCTCTCTTTCCCTGGGTCTGCCGCCTGGTCGAGTAAGAATGCTTGAAAAGGAATATTTCCTCGCGGTTACGTGGCTACGGTATTATATCGGTCTTAAACGGTCTCAAGGAGGAAACTCCCGCCGGTTGCAAGCTCGATTGAAAACCCTGGCAGCAGTTCAAAACCAGTCTCGACGGTGGCGGAGCGACCGCCAGTACAAACCACCTTTCTATCGGACTTAAAATAGTACCGCGCGAGCTGGATGATAAGTCGCGCCGACGCGCGCCCTTTCCGATCGCAATTCGCGCGTCGCGATCACCGGAAAGCGACTGGAATGTTTGCGCACGCACAAGCTCTCTCTCTCTCTCTCTCTCCCTCTGTCTCTCTCTCTCTCTCTCTCTCTCTCTCTCTCCCTCTCTCTCCCTCTCCCTCCCTCCCTCTCTCTCTCTCTCTCTCTGTACCGAGATAATATTTCAGCAGGCGCGCATAATAAAGTCAGATTCGCGTGACGAAATGAAATTTACGATCGTAATGCGGCGTCCTGTTTCGTCGGCTTGTAAAGA